AGTGAGAAACGACACTTTTCTCACAAGAGCAAATAATTTGTGACAGAAACCGTTAGGCGAGTGTCATAATTCAAGAGAGATCTAGGGAATGTTCGCAGAGAGACCATATTGGCGTTGTATCTCTAAAAGAAATCTTGATAATTGAGAAATCATTGTAACTTTATCCATAATACCAGCTACCATTAAATTTTAATTTCTGGACATCTTGTAACAACTGGAAAGATAAGCACCGCTTGTCACCAGTGTAACAACTGAAATATCTTTAACTAGTCTTTAACTAATTTAGATTACTATGACCAGTATATTAAGGGACGCAGCAGCACTGTCACCAGTCATAGGGTCCTAAAGTCCTAAAGGAAGATACATTTACCACTGGCGAAAAAATAATAATAAAAAAAACAGCATAACCTCTTAATAGTATAATTGAGAGGTTTTGGCATCTGGTTAGACTCTAATAGTTTTTAAGGATAGGGACACCGAGGCTTCACAAATGATCGGAGTATTTTTATAATTGGTTTTTGGAAAGGAAGGAGATAATAATAATATTAATAATAAGTGAATAAACATTAACAAGTGTACATTTAAAAGAATTACAAAAACTAATAGTCTCAAGATAAATAATCAATTTTTATTTATTGAATTAAAAAACTCTACATTTTAGTGTACTATTTGATAATTATGTACAAACGTTGTGATAATAAATTAAATGGAAAAATTGGCATTCATAGGAAAAATAACTAATTAACACAAAACCAAATCAAACAACAAATTTAAAACAAGCATGTTAACTTAATTAGGGATATTTACGTTTACATCTTGCGCAATACTTTTTATAAAAATAAGTGGCTTTGGGACATAAGGTTGGTAATATTTATCATTACATGTTTTTGCAGTAGCTTGCCCATCTAATGAAGAAGAAGGATGTGCTCCTTGTTGTCCTGTACCGACATGTCAACGCAGAATTCTACCAGCTTGCAATCGACTCTGTGCTGATGACTGTCTTCCACAATGTGTATGCAAAGTTGGTTTTCTAAAAGACGAATTAACTAGTAAATGTGTACCAAAAACGAGCTGCCCCAATAGTTATTGAAACATTTATTCTTGTTAACAACTACTGATGTATTTAAATTTTGTAGTAAATTTAAATTTAATTAAGTCAATTAAACTAGAATAAAACCATAATTTTTATAATTATTTCAGCCTCCCAAAGTACCATTAAGTGTATTAATCTACATAGCTTCAATTTATGACAAATTTATAGACTGGATAGTATTTCAAATAATCATACAAAAAAAAAAAATAGTTTAAAAAAAACTAAAAAACACTCAATAGAAAAGCAAACTAAAGAGTAGAAAATAATTTTCAATAAATGTAAATTAAGAAAAATTTAAATGGGCCTTTCTAAGCTTATTTCCTAAGCCTTTTGTAAATTGTCCATTTTTTTTATAATTTCCTACCTTGCTTTCGCCATCTTTAGTTTTTTTTCCCCATTAGTATTTTTAATTAATTTTAACATGTGGCAGGGATCAAAAATGACAAATATTTTTTTCATTTATTGTAAAATATGATTTCGTGTTAAAAAAATCCGTTTTTACAGCCCAACATATGTGCCATTGTTACATTTGATGAAGCCCAATCAAAAGTTAAAGACAGTACATGTGCACGTGTGTCATTAATTAATTTAATACTGTGTGAAACTATTCCATATTTTTGAGTTCCATTCAAACCATTTGCCAGTAGCAGCTCGTGAGCTGCGAAGGTGGGGGACGCCAATTGGCTTGAGAGTAGGGATTATGAAAAATTTTTTATTTTTGTATTTTGTATTTTTTCATTAACATAGATTGTCAATTGTCAATATTCAATAAACAAAATAAAATATATTTCTTATAGTAAAACATCTAAATAATTATTCTAAAAAAAAACAAACATGAAAATAGATATAATTATATTTTTTTAAAAATTTTTTACGAAAATTTATGGCACGTCTCACATCCTGAAATTGAAATCTACTGTCCCTCATTGTATTAAAATTTTCTATGACTTTTTCGTCGAAATTTTTTATCTCCACAACTAAATTTCTAGTTAATGATATCACAGCTAAGGCGTTTAGTCAAACATTTAGCATGGTACTTCGAAAAATTTAGTAAAAACTATAAAACAACTTTAAAAAAAGAAAAACTGTCGCTTGACACCTCATTATCTAAATTTTAATTCTGGTCCGCCGCGAAAAAATTGCGTCCTGTTCTGCACTAAAACTGTGGATTGTAGAACAGAAGTAAAAGTTGGAAATGCTTTTGCCAGTTCTCCCACTTTATACACATAAATTGACATGTTGGCAGCGGATTTCACCGAAGTGGATGCGATACATTGGCGTACAAAATTATTTTATAGATGTTAATAACAATTTCGAGTAAATAGTTTAATAAATTGTGAATAGCTGTTGAAATTTTGTAAAATTATGATTTGAATATTATAATACATGTTTAATAATTATTTATAATCCATAAATACATGTGATTGTCCGGTTCCGCCGATAACAATTTAAAATTACTTATTCTATGAAACGACACTGGCAGGTAAACATTACTGCGAAATTCTCGGAGCCGCCCGACGTGGTTAGACGTTTACCCCCTCTATACCTACCAAAAGACTTTTCAACTTTTACTTTCTCTATAAGATGTACTCGATAGCGCGTGTCCCACTACGTTTACATGGAGATATGGGCCTCAATCTTATTGCGGCCGGCTATAGTCCAGTCAGAGAGCTCATAAATTGTTATTATAGGAAAGATTTGGAAGGGACTTAATAAATAATACTCATAGCATGTGTCGAGACGATAGGAAAAATTTTAAAATGAACAAATATTTAGTATTTTATTTTCTAGTATCTCTGGTATTATTGAGGAGGGGCGCGTGGCCATGCGGCCTTAAAGAGTAGCCGCCCCTGCCATTTGCAAAAAAATAGCCTACTGGTAAATTCCATGTTGTATTAACGCCAATAATCATTAAAACAAACGCTTCTTTTGCAACTTCAGTTAAGTCATTATCCAAGTCTATACCATAATTATTATTAGAAAAAATATTATTAACTATATAAAAGTATTTTTGTAATAAATTTGATATTTTTTATTAATTCATTTACCTGAGTTAAGGAGGTTTTAATATTTGGAATATTACTCTTTTCCCTCTCAAAATAATAGACCAGGATCCGTAATTAGGGTCGACCTTCACCCATCTGTTTAATGGATAAAACTTATTTTTTATTAAATAAAATATGTTTTTAAATATACCGCAAATGGGTTGCCTAAGAAAATACGGTCACGGCCATTTTTTACTTTCCTTTCTGTGTACAGATAAGGAAAGTATAAAAATCATTATAAAAAATGTTTATGAGGTCATTATCTATTATTTTATTCCTATACATGATTTTCCTAAAATGGACCTAATTCGAGATATTTGAGGAAAAGTGCAAATTTAGAATTTTGAAGACAACTCAAAAACGGATAAAGAGAAAAACATCAAATTTTAAAATTAAGCTTTAATCCATCCTGCGGTGAGCTGATTAAAGTTTGGGCATAGTTGAAGCATCTGGGGAATACTTTACAGGGTGTCGTTTTTTTTACTTTAAGAAAAAACATAGCCTGGACCGTATTTTCTTAGACAACCCATTTGCGGTATATTTATAAATATATTTTATGTAATAAAAAGAAACTTTCATCCATTAAACAGATGGGTAAAGGTCGACCTTACTTCGGCTCTTAGACTATAAGGAAGTATTATAAAAATACCAACGTTTTTAACCAATTTTTATTTTTTATCGAAAAATAACTTGTTTTTACACTAAAATTATAAAAAACATTTTCCTCTCAAACTTGGCATCGTATATCAAACTTCCTCGTCACCATCACTGTCATCTTTTGCAGTGGACCAGGCGAGTTTTTCTTCGAAGAATGGAAGAAAGTCTTCAGGTATGTATTGAAAAATTTTTGAAGTATCTTCAATCTTTTTCTTTTTTATTGGGACTCTTCCTATATATGTGCTCAATTTAAATTTGTTGACTCAAAAACTGTATATGTATTCACCACAATGTACATATCCTCTTTCTGCCTGTTTGATGACACTATGTCAGTACTTACTAATAGTAAAAAGGTACTTTGACGGTTGATCCAGTAGGAGGCGTACTTGTACAGTTTTTTTTTAAATAGTGAGTCCACCAGTTTTTAAAGTCTAGTATATCTTCATGATTAATATCTCTTAGCATGTATTTAGGATGAGATGTCTAAGCATTGCTATAATTTCCAGGTGAATAAATTCGATCATGTTTACGTACTACACGTTTGACAACACTAAAAGTAGTGTCAGAGGGCATAAAACTATGACCCCTAAGAGGATAGTGTAGGTTAACCTCTTTAAAACGACCCCTCATTGTTAGAGTAAGCATAAATCTCGCAAGAGTGTGGTTGCGTTTTTGCCCGCGGCACGCATCACAAAAAAACATGAAGAAATTCTACTTCATTTGGAGCAGACTTTTCAATAAAATCTAGTACAAAAGTGCAAATCTCGTTAGGCCCTTTCTTGCATTCTCCTTCTGGATAGTTATAAAATATAGATGTTGCAGTCTTGAATATTGAACACATAATACCATAGTTTTCTCGGGTAAAACATCTGTACAGGCATAAAGGGCAGAGGCAAATTTTGCATATAGTCAAATACTATTCCAATAACTTTTGGGTCAGTTTTGCCCAACTCTTGCACGCTCCTCAGCTTGTTATAAAACTTTGTTGCCCTTCGTTTATGCACCATGAGTTCAGCATCAGCGACACGTTTTGCGCCATTATTTAAAAAAGTTGATTTGATCCTGGTATTTCACTCTTCACAGGTAGAACAAACATCTACTTAAGGTCGGCCAAATTTGTAGTTAAAATTTTCTTTGAAATATTTGAGGTAATATTCATATTTCACCACTGTTTTGCATTAAGAGCATTTTTCCAAGAATAGGTTATGTATTTTCGTCGTTGTCAACGCTGCTTTAAGGTAAGTTATAGGCTTAGAAGTATAATGAGAAATGTGCGTTGGAAATGATTTGATGTGATTATGTATTTCATCCGCAACAGAGGCTAGTATTGCACGTGGTCTGTTAGAATGTCGACCATGACCATCTTTTGGTGATTCGTTTGCATTCAGCAGATGTATCAGTCAAGCCACTGCTTTATTAGATATAGCATGCAAGCTAATAAATGCATTACGGCATCAAAGTGCCCTCCTGAATGGCTGCTATGAAGCTCTTCCAATACATTTCTCACCTGTGACCTCGGCAGTATCACTTGGCGGACTACATGTACTCCATCGGGGCTCTCCCACTTCCAGTGCAATAGGCCATCGTGAAGATACAGGGAATCCCACTGGGTCCAGTAGCCTTTTATAGTTCTACTGTATTTGGCTATCTCTTACCAGCATTGTTCCTCTAAACGATATTGCCAGAAGAGAATGTCTGCGTTGCTATGGAAACCTATTCGATGCTCTACTTTCTGGTTATTGTTAGAAAGCCGGCTCGGTGTGGGTGATTGGCTTCTTCGGGACGCATAGCTGCTGTAGTTGATTCTTGTTGGTCTTAGTGATGGGCTTGGAAAGATTGATCTATATGATTTTCCGGTCTTATTCGCTGATTCTCGATTTATAGAATGAGCCATGCTTCTACAGGTTCTCGGAAGGTGCCCGATTTTTCCGCAATTGAAGCATCTCCTGCTTCCATTTTGGCTGTTTCTATGCATATTTCCTAGGATATTTAAGATTTGGGAAATAGCATTAGTATTGGCCTCCTCAATTTCCTGGGATTTAATTTCCCTCACTTCTGCGCGAGAAAATCTGGATAGGAGTTTTACCGCTTCATATTCCTGGGCTGCAATCAGTTTCTCCCTCAGCGTCTTATGATGTAGACGTAGGACTTGCTGCATTTCCGCATCTTGTATTCCAATTTGTTCTTGGAAATCTTTGGGCGCCTGTGGATAGGCCAGATGAATCAATCTTCTTATGTCGGCCCCGAATTCCTGTAGACTCTCATTATTTTTTTGACTACGAATTTTTAGCTGGCTTTGAAATACCCGTTATAAATGCTGCTGGCCGTATCTTGTCTCCAAAGCTTGGACTAGAGATGAATAACTGGGTTCTTCTTGAGAAAGTAACTGTAAAACGGTTGCTGCTTGTCCTCGCAGTGACACTATCAATGCAGCCGCCATCTCCTTTTCAGCCCAGCCATTGGCTCTAGCTGCAGCTTCAAATTGGAGGCGATACGTCTCCCATGTTGTCTGACCGTCAAACGTGGGTGGCCTAATGATCTTGCTAGTATGGATTTGTGAAACTGGGTGTTAAATATGGATCGGTTTGATTACAGATAAGGACGAGGTAGTGTTTTCAGTTTCTCTATTGCTTATCGAAGCTAGGCTACGAATTCTTTTTTCTAACTCAACTAGTTCAGTTCTTGTTTGCCTTACAAACTCTACTCTAGCCTTTTCCTGTTGTTTTAAATTAGCTCGTTGTTGTTCTAAATTAGTTTTTAAATTCTCTTGCTGCTGTTCTAAATTAGTTTTTAAGTGCTCTTGTTGTTGCTCTAAAAGACCTACTCTAATTTTAAGCTGACCAACCTCTTGCTTGAAGATTTCCTGAATTTGTAGCAAAGCATTCATAGTTTTTTACGCCTCTCTTCCTTCTTATGTTCTCACCTTTCCTTTTCCTCTTCTTCCTCCTTCCTACGCTTTTCCTTTTCCTCCTCTTCCTCCTTCCTACGCTTTTCCTTTTCCTCCTCTTCTTCCTTCCTACGCTTTTCCTTTTCCTTCTCTTCCTCCTTCCTACGCTTTTCTTTTTCCTCCTCTTACTCCTTCCTACGCTTTTCCTTTTCCTCTTCCATCTTTAAAAACCATGCTGGTGGGCCTGAAGTATCCATATCTGTCTCGTACTCAGTGGATCTAGTATCTACCATGAATTTCTATTTTCTATCCCACCGCTGTCACTAATTTTTTTTCTCTCCTGGCCTCGTCTGACTATGTGTCTCCGAATAACACTGAAGCCTATTGGCTTATTGTGTTTTACCCCATGTTAGTTCATAGCACCCACTCTTTCACCTTTGTACCTTGTACAAGTTTGTACAGATCCTTGGGTGAGTGGGTTCTATACGTTGTTGGATCAACCTGGGGTTGTCCAAAAAGAGCCTGTCTTTTGTGATCTAGAGCTTCGCATTCGCACAGTATGTGTTTGGCCGTTTCTGGTTTCTTGTGACATAGTCGGCACATGAGTTCCCCATTGTACATGCCAATTTTGTTCAAGTGTCTCTTTACTGGGGCGTGCCCAGTCATGAACCCTGTTATCACTTTCAACTGGTTCCTATTCATTAAGAGTAGTTCTCCAATTCTTTTGGGACATGGTCTGCCTATGAAAGCTTTTCCATGTGCCTGTTTTGGGGTGCTTCCCCAATAGTTGATATGTTGTTCCCGAATCCAGTCATTTATAAAACCCCGGACTGTACTTTTTGGTACTCCTGGGTTTGTGTCTGGTTCCGGTGTTTCTTCTGACCCTCTTTTTGCAAGTTCGTCAGCCTTTTCGTTGCCTTCGATCCCTTTGTGACCTGGCACCCAAAATAGTTTTACTCTATTACGGTCTGCCAGTGTTCTTAGTTCTTCGATGCATTCCCATACCAGCCTCAACGTAACTTTCTGACTCGATATGGCCTTAAGTGCCGCTTGGCTGTCTGACATTATTTGAATATGCTGATTTTCGACAGCTCTTTCATTGTTCGTTTTTGCACATTGCAAAATTGCGTATACCTTGGCCTGAAATACCGAGGAATGTATTCCTATAGCATAGCTATGGTTAGTATCAGAGTTTTTGGAGAATACTCCTGCCCCAGTGCCTTCCGCAGTCTTAGACCCGTCTGTATACCAGGTTTGTTCTTGTCGTTGGGCATTGGGCTCCCTTATAGTGATCTCCGCTCTTTCCTGTATTAAAACCTCAAAGGGAGTATTAAAAGAGTACCTCTTGGTTAAGTGGTCTGATCTCATGTCTAGCACGTCTCCTGTCACTAACCTTGAGATACTCATGTGACCTGGCCTAATGTCAAGATTTCCCAGTGTATTCCCTAATCTGTAAGCACCTAATCTTGCCTCCCCTTGTATCACATAGTGAAGAGGTGGGAGACCTATTAGTGCTTCCATTGCAGCAGTGGGGGTTGTTTTCATTGCCCCCGTTATTCCGAGGCAGGCAAGTCTTTGTACCTTGCTAAGCCTCGTTATTGCTTTCCTTTGCTGTGTCTTTGGCAAACCACACCAAAGCTGCGTGTGTTATTATGGGTCTCACCACCATGTTATAAATCCAATATACCATGTCTGGTTTTAACCCCTATTTTTTTCCAAAGGATCGCCTTGCCATCATTAATGAGGTTTCCGCTCTCCTTGTGGTTCTTTCTAGATGCTGGTTCCAGGTAAGTCTCGAGTCAATCATAACCCCGAGATATTTTACCTCTTCCTTAAGCTGGATGCTTGCACCTCTTAGGTTTAGAGGCCCTAGTCCCTCCAATTTCCAATTTCCTCCTGCGGGTGAATGCAATTATGTCAGATTTGTTTGGGCTAATGCTTTCGCCGCTGTCCATTTTGTTACTATATTTAGAGCCTCTTGCATTCGATCTCTTACTATAGTGTTGTATTTTCCCTGTGCCATGATCACTAGATCATCGGCATATCCCAGGGTTCTATGTCCCTTATCTTTGAGAGCCCTAGCAGCCCGTCCACTACAAGGTTCCACAGGAGTAGAGACAGCACTCCACCCTGTGGACATCCTCTCGCTACCCGTACCGCTGTTGTCTCTCCCATAAGGGTTGTGTGTATAGTTCTCTCCCTTAACATAGAGTCGATCCAGGACACGCATGTGTCCTCGATTCCTCTGTGTTTGAGAGATCTAATGATCGATTCAATGGAGGTATTGTCGAATGCACCCTCGATATCCAAGAATGCTCCCAGCATTACCTCCTTGTTTTCCATTGTGTTCTCCACCCTTTTTATTAGTTGATGGAGAGCTGTTTCAGTTGATTTCCCTGCACTATAGGCGTATTGGTCTTGGTATATTGGCCTTTGAACCAATATCCCGTCTCTAATATGCCTATCTAGCAGTTTTTCCAAAGTCTTAAGTACGAAGGACATAAGACTTATTGGTCTTAGGGACTTTGCCGTTTCCTGTCCCATTTTCCTAGGTTTTGGTATAAAAGTTACCCTAATATTTCTCCAAGCTTTTGGTATGTGTCCAAAGGCCAGGCTACTTCTGAGTATGTTACAGAGTCTGCTGTATAAAATATCAGGACCTCTTCGTAACATTATTGGATAAATCCCGTCCATGCCCAGTAATTTATATGGTTCGAATGAGCTAATTGCCCATTTCAGTTTATCATAGTTCACCACTTGTTTGGCTATCCTATAATCTTCCCTGTTGGATCTATTATGAGCTTCCAGTCCGTTTAGATTCCGGTTAGCCGGTGTGTGTGCTATGGTTTGTGCACAAGGGAAGTGAACCCTGAAGAGTTCCCTTACCATTTCCTTCCCTGTGATTGTGTACTCCCCAAGTTCATTCTTAAGGGTGTTTATTGTGTGTTGTGTGTCTTTTGAGATAATTTTTTGGAGCCTGGCACATTATTGAGTGCTTGCTATCTCCTCACAGTGCCTTCTCCAAGACTCTCTCTTGACTTTTCGTAAAGCTATGTTGTAACAGGTGCGTATGGTTCTATATAGTTCTCACTCGCCGGTTATTTTAGCCTTATTAAATTTTTCTGTTTCCTTAGTATAGCCAGGTCTTCATTCCACCATGGAACTTTCCTGGTAGAGTTCCTTGCTATTAAGGGACAGGTATCGTTGAAAGCGCTAGTGACTGTGTCATTAAACTCATCCACAGCCATTTCTAGGTCAGTTGTTGTTCTTATCGTCTTTCTCATCTTCGGAAGATTACATTCCAGGGAAGCATTGTATGCCTCCTAGTCTGTTTTCCTGGGATTCCGATAA